TCGCGAGTGCGCGGAGGGTAGCGGCTCCGTTCATATACGTGGTCTCTGAGCCACTGCTGCTATCGGCTTGTGTTAGGAGACAAGTAGGTCATGTACCGTAGGACCCTTGTAACTACCACTGTCATTGTGAGTCCACTTGAAAACCATAATGATTATAGCAGGAATCTCGCACCATAATAGTGGCAAGCTTCGAAGCCCTTACCGACCATTTGTCTTGTAGGATTTAAGCTCAGGCATTGAGAAACATGGCGCAAGCCTCAGTGAGCCGGGTCGCATACAGGCAGCACAAGGATTGGGCACGGCAAGCGTCTCAGCCATGCATCAGAGCATGAGAAATCATTCTGAAGAACCTGGCACTTCTCAAAACGCACCTATATGTTTAAAAAAAAGAAAGAAAGCTTGGGCAATTGTTCATACCTGGACCCCCAAAGTATGTAGAACAATAGCCTTTTGAACCCTTTTGAATGGTTTTGGCCCATTATTCTGTCTACTTTAAGGGCTTAAGTACAAACTGCGCAAGGACTCTGGGGATTTGAAGATTAGTCTTGGATGACTTCTCGAGACGGGGAGGTCCTTGGGGACTAAAGAAATTAAGAAAAATTGTAGGGCAAAGCACTTGGGATACCTATGGGAGTTTACCTAACAGGGCTTGGACTTCTGACTATAGTCATCATGTGGGTTTCTCAAGTTCGGGGTCGAGTCTTCAAATCCAACCAGACATGGTCCTTACTAAAACAGACCCATCCCCATCATTTTTGACAAGCGCAGAGGTAGAAGCAAGCTCCAAAACACATGTACGGATGCACAATCTACCCTTCCTTCCCTATGTCTACAGACCTTTCAAAAGGACATGGCACGAACCTAGATACATAGAGCTGGACTACACTACATCAATGAGAGCTCCACGTGGACAGGGAGCCTGAGTAGGTGCAAGCAATTGGAGCTTCTTCCTTTTGGACTGATGCCCTTACGCTTTTCGCGAAGTAGCTGGTAAACCCATGCAGAAGGGTCTAACAGGGTGTCGATCGAAAGGCAAAGCATCTCCCCCCACATCCTAGGGGCAGAACTTCTTACGTAACAGCAGAGAGACTCATAATTTCTGACAAAACTCTTCCTGCCAGAGGCTTCCCTGATGACCCAGAGACCTCAAACTCTGTAGCTCTATCCCTGAACCTCCATTACCAGGCATCCAAGACCCTAAAGCCCTCAAGCCTAAACCCCCACAACAGCCACATCAAAAACGCCTGGTCCTCCAACACAACTCCCAAAGGGTGTCACCAGAACTCGGAAAAGAACACTAAACCCTGAACGCCCCTAAGCTCTAAACTCTTCTGAACCCTAAAACGGTAAGCGCAGAAACCCCTGCAAACCATAAACACGTAAAACCCATAAACCCTAAACCCGTAAAACCCCTCCAAACCCTGAACCCTAAAGCACAAGCTTTTTTGTGGCCAACGCGGCCCGCTTCGCGGTCGCCTTGGGTGCACAAAGCGGCTGAAGGCCTGGCCCCAGAGGTTAAGGGTCCAAGGTCCAGGGTAACCACCAGGGGCTATTAGACCCTAAAATTCCCTATTAGGACCCTATTAAGGATAGATTAAGGTACCGTTAAGGTCTAATAGCCCATAGGGGTAAGGGTTCAAGGTTCAAGTTTTGGGTCTATAGGGTGCGAAGTTTAAGGGTTAAGTCAGGGTCCAAGGTTTAGGGTTTAGGGTTGAGAGTTTTTGGGTATGGGGTCTTGGGTTTCAGCTTTAGCGTGTAGGGTTTTAGGGTATAGCGTTTAAGGTATTGGACTGAGAGTTAACTGGGTGGGATTCTACGGGTAATTCCCAAAAGTAGGGTCCAAAGGGTCCAGAATTTTGAGTATAACCCATATAAGGGTCATAATATATTCTATTGTTTTTTTAGTGATATAACGTAAAGGGCAAGTTTAGCTTAGGGATATACACAACAATGCAGAATCAGATCGAGAATTAAATGGAAAATGACATGGCAAGTACGGTCTGGGTTTGGGGCCCAAGGTTGTTCACCACCCTCGCCCTCGCGGTGCGACTATAGGCATTAAGAAGACATGCCCTTCCCGCCCCGTCCCATCCTTCTGGAGCCCACTGGTGCGCAGTATCCCTCCATTGCCCAACCGCGGACAGAGTGCCCAACACAAGAGTCTGCATACTCAGGGCAACCCTGAACTCTGCAGCACCTTTTAAGTAGGGATGCTGGAGGTACAAGACAGTTTGAAGCTTCAAGGTTGTCTTCATCGCGCCCCTTTTCCAAAGCCAGTGCGAACTCAGAAGCTTTCACCTAGAGAACAGTGAGGTAGCCAAACATTGCGCCCGTGCCGAAAACCCCAATACATTTTCCACAGAGGACCCCTCGCACTTGCATGCTTCTACAAAGCCAAACCCATGGACCTCTGTCGAATGGCAAACCAATGGGAGACTATTGCTTTTTACCACCTACTTGGAGGGTCAGGGAGACTTCGTAAGTAGGTTCATAAGCCCCAGAATTACCTCACTATGCCCATCATTAACCTACTTCTTAAGTCCTCCTGGCCCTCCAAGTAGCCCCGAGCCCTCAGAGATGATAGAACCCCCCAGAAGACTACCTAAGTTAAGTTGCAAATTACATAGTATGGGTGTATAGTAAATAAAAGGGTGTCCTTGTTGTAGTAACTGATTGAAGTTCCTTAACAGCACCCCAGAATAGTACAAAAACCTTCCTGGAGTTTGCTTTGCTCTCAAATGTTTGATCGAAAGCCAAGCCTCTCATAGTAGTGGCTGTAGGTAATAGTAATGATAATAAGAGTCGCAATATTGATCAAGCAAAACACCGCAACAGTCAGAAATAGTCTTGCTAGCTGCTACATTCTGGACCGAAGCCAGCAAGCAACAGCTTCTCGCAAAAAAACGAGTATGCTGCGTTAGGAATTTGGTTGTAGGGGAATTGGGTTTAACATCTTAGCCCAAGGCTCACAGCGTGGCTTCAGATTTACTGTTGAAATAATTTAGAAGGAAAGACAGGAGAACCAAATCAGGGTTTTGTCCCCCAAGAAGACCGAGCCCTGAACTGGCATAGTGTTAATAGTAGTAATACTATCAATAGTGCTAATTGTAATAACAACAATAGTAATAATTCTATAGCAACAACATAGTAAAATCAGGAACCCTAAATCCCTAGACCCCCCTGAACCGCTTAAACCTCATAACCATGAGCCCCTGCACCTCGTCATTAACGTCTGACCGCCCTGATCCTTCCGGCGGACAACTCCCGCTGTTCTGGTCGGCTGGGACGACGTCCTGCTGACAGAATGCAGGTAATGTCGTAACCTTTCTAGGAATTTGCATCGGATAATGCAAGGGCCTACTAAGGTGAATGACACAAAGTGACAGTAAATTGCGGTTGGACTTCTCGAGAACTATCTGTATGGGCCAAAAGGTTCAGAGCAGTGTGCGGATGCAGACTATACTTTAGCTTTCCAGGCGGTATGATATTCCGGACTACTTGGGCAAGAAAGCACCCTAAAATACATCCCACTTTGCTAGCCAGAGCCCATCACTTAAAACTGGGACTGCAATCACCCTAAACACCCCTCTTTAAAATTCAAGCTCTACCATGCTCACACCTATCTAGTATATTGGGGTAACATTGGGATAATGGAAAAGAAAATGGAAACTACAGGGATCATAGGGATTACATAGGGTATACAGTCCGCCTTAAGTAGAAAAAATATGGGGGATACCTCAGGGATAAGTCCCGTCAAAGGGACACAATTTCAGCATCATTCCTACCGCGACCGGAGCCGCCTGTACAGCCCTCTGTGTTAGTATTTTTGAATCCTCAAGGGCCGCCGGGAAGCTCTCAAAACCTGGCTGGCCCATGAGTAGTTTTCATCTTCGCCCTTAGTACCTAGACCTTCCTCCTACCCTCTATTAGGGCCTAAGTACCCACTATTAGGGACCATATATATCCCCAATTAAGGGTACAAGGAAGGTCCTGGTATTCTAAAATTGGGAGAAGGCATCCCCATCCACTTCAGAGCGCTCTGCTGGCTTGTTCCTCCACAGCTCGGACTATCCCGTCCATCTAGCCAACTCACGCTCCACGTGGCTGGTCGCATGGACGTCTGGCATTTCATGGGGAGTGGGGTCATGGATCCCCGAGTATCCCCTGAAATAACCCCTAGAATACTCCCTTGAAACACGTGTTCCAGGCACCGCAGCTCCATTTCAATTCCGCCAAACTTGCAAAAAAACTTCTTCTCGGAATACAGCTTTAAGGCGATACAGGACAAGAGGGACCTCCCCACCAACCGTTGAACCCTTAAACCCTAAACCCTAAACCTTATTTCCCTTCTTGGCTCAGATTTGAGCCCAGGGACGTCAGCATGAAGAGCAAGCAGGGAGCATGGCACGTATCACTGCAAAAGCGACCTCCCGTAGAGGAAGATCGATGGAAAAGCAAGCTTACACGCAGGCTGCAGGCAGGCAACAACAAATACACGGCCCCTCATCCCTAAACCCTAAACCCTAAATAGTAGTTTCTATTGTATTTTCCATCATCCCAGTAGAACCCCAATATAACCCTAATATTACCCCAATGGGTACAACCCTCTGAGTTCCTCAAATCCGAGCACATGGACATTAGCAACTGTCGACGAGCCTGCAGCCCTGCGTGACACGCACTGCAACAAGTTTGAAGCTTACAGCCAAACCTGCTGGTAGAGTTAAGCTACAACTGCATGGCTGGTGCGATGTCCATGTAAAAGTTGGAAAATCGCGCACTGCTTAGATTGACGGGGGTGTCTCTCGAAGGAAGTGTGACACTTGTGTGCCACCAACATAGCTACAGTATCATTCCTAAAAGGACGTACAATTTTAATAAAGAAGCAGCACCTGTTTGAGAAACCCCTAAAAAGCAAAAGACTCAGGCTGTTAATGCTGGGCTCCGCCCAGGACAGCCTAAGCCAACGCATCTCCAGCCTCGCTGGGCCGCGACCTTCATTCTCAAAGCCAGATCGGCATCCCCTTTGGGCTGGCTGGCTCGCTGCAGTCGGACGGGTACCCAGTGGAAGCCACACCCTCGGATGCTGTCTCCACGCTCGTCTTCCCAAAGATACCCTCTGCATCAGGACCGTGCAGTGCACTGATGAGACCGTCGTGGATGGATCGTTTCAGCAAAGGCCTAGGCAGCAGCGATGCTTCTACCACAATACTCTCTAGTATCTTCCACTGCTACTGCTTATTTGATTTCACCTTTGTACTAATAATGCTAATAAGAATACTGAATGATACCTTGACTGCTACTGCCCAGCGACCCACAGAGAGAACTCTCCAAGCTCTCCCGCAGCATCGCGGCAACATACTTCGGCTCAGGGGCGTACAGCTCGAGACCTGGCTATAAAGAAAAATGAGAATGGAGAATGCATCTAAAAATCATACCATTTTTGATGGTGGTGGTAGTGGTGGTCGTGGTGGTGGTGGTGGTGGTGGTGGTGGTGGTGGTGGTGGCGGCGGCGGCGGGCGTCGTCGTCGTCGTCGTCGTCGTCGTCGCCGCCGCCGCCGCCGCCGCCGCCGCCGTCGTCGTCGTCGTCGTCGCGTCGTCGTCGTCGTCGTAGTAGTAGTATAGTAGGCGCCCCCACCCCCTAGGCACTGGGGGGGGGTAGTTCCTTACGTTGTAATGTGCAATCATTATTATAGTAAGTTCGGGAATAGGTAAGGGGTGGGGCTCAAGTGGAAAGCACCGCGGCGAGGTGATACTAAGATATCGCCGCTGGTGGATTTTTGATGACCGCAATAAGCGGTGATGTTGGGAGTGGCAGCCGTACACTGGTGCCATGGTGAACTTGCCGCGGCAAATCCGCGAGCAAGTTCAATCTCACAGAAGGCGCGTGGACG